CAACGTTTCCGCGCTTCGCGTGGAAGGGGAAAAACTGAATTCAAAGAAGGATAATAATTTAATAAACCGTCAAAGCTTACGCGCTACGCGCGGGCAAGGGAAAACTTAATTCAGACAAGGATTAAGAGTCGAGAATGATAAAATGATTCGTCTTCTTCCTCTAATAATTTAATAAACTGTCAAAGCTTACGGCCAAGGGAAAACTTAATTCAGACAAGGATAAAGAGTCGATGACGGTACAACGAATCATCTTCTTTTTCTAATACTTTAATGAAACGTCAACGTTTCCGCGCTTCGCGCGGGAGGAGGGGGGGGGGGCGGGAACTCAATTCAGACAATGATTAAGAGTCGAGAATGGTACAAAGAATCGTCTCCTTTCCTTTATAATTTAATGTAACGTCAAAGCTTCCGCGCTTCGCGCGGGAGGGGGGGGGGGGGAGGGGAACTCAATTCAGACAAGGATTAAGAGTCGAGAATGGTACAAAGAATCGTCCCTTTTCCTTATAATTTAATTAAACGTCAAAGCTTCCACGCTACGCGCGGGAGGGGGGGGGGACGGGAACTCAATTCAGACAAGGATTAAGTGTCGAGAATGGTACAATAAATCGTCTCCTTTTCCTTATAATTAATTAAACGTCAAAGCTTCAGCGCTACGCGTGGGAGGGGGGAGGGACGGGAACTTAATTCAGACAAGGATTAAGAGTCGATGACGGCACAACGAATCATCTTCTTTCTCTAATTATTTCATTAAACTATGAAAGGCCAAAGCTTCCGTGCTGCGCGCGGGAGGGGGGGGGGTGAATTCAGTCAAGTAATAAGAGTCGAGAATGGAGCAACAAATCTTCTTTCTATAATAATTAATGAAAGGGCAAAGCTTCCGCGCTTTGCGCGGGCAGGAGGAAACTAAATACACCCAAGGATTAAGAGTCGAGAATGGTACAACGAATCATCTCCTTTCTCTAATAATTTCATTAAACTATGAAAGGCCAAAGCTTCCGCGCTTCGCGCGGGAGGGGGGGGGGGGGGGTGAATTCAGTCAAGTAATAAGAGTCGAGAATGGTACAACAAATCGTCTTTGTTCTCTAATAATTTAATGAAACGTTAAGCTTCTGCGCTTTGCGCGGGAGGGGGTAAACTGAATTCAGAGAAGGATTAAGAGTCGAGAATGGAACAACGAATCATATTTTTCTCTAATAATTTCATTAAACTATAACATGTCAAAGCTTCCGCGCTTTGCGCGGGAGGGGGAAAACTGAATTCAGAGAAGTTTTAAGAGTCGAGAATTGTACAACAAATCGTCTTCTTTCTCTAATAATTAATGAAAGGTCAAAGCTTCCGCGCTTCGCGCGTCATTGGGGAGGGGTGGGGGAGGGGGGTTAGCGAGCTACCCGCATATGATTTTTTGACATCTTTTCTCGTTTATTTGGCTATAAATAACACTTTCACAAAATAAATATTTTGCTCAAATTGTTGCTCGCTCGCTTCGCTCACTAGCCGAATTGTGAAACCAGAAAGTTACTTTTTCGGATAAGAGGCTATAGCCCCCCCCCCCCCCCGATGAAAATGTCAAAAATTGTAATGGTATGGTGCTTCTAATATGACCTTGAAAAAAACGGTCGGCGCAATTTTCAAACTTCCTGCCCCCCCTATGGAAAATCCTGGATCCGCGCCTGTATAAGTGCATTTGAAGAACCATCCTCATCAGGGGACACTTTTTCTATGACACTCTTCCATACTAACATAACAAGAATTAACGAGCTCACAAATGATTTGTAAACTTTCCCAGAACTCAACCTCCTCTTTAAAGCATTGTTTTACAATGTTTCCAGTTTAACATATGAGATGCATGGCCCTATGTGTTATCAGTGTCTCAGATATGGTGTAATATTAAAGCCCTAAACAAAGTGCAATTCAAAATGATCATGAAGTGCCTCAAAAATTAAAAATCTTTGAGTGAATGATTTTACCATACTCATTTTCCCAATAGACTGTAGTTTTATAAAAAACGTTGGGGAAAACGGTTGTTGAAATATTGAATTCCAATCATAAATATCTTGATAATCAGACAGGCGATCAGCTTGTAAAAATCATGGGATTCCTGACTGACCTAAAGGTTTATAATCATAATTGCAGCATGAGCTAAATCCAAGATTTTGTTTATTAAAGCTTACCATAATCTTGGTAACCAACGTCTGGAAGGTCGGAGGGGGCTGATGGGTAATCGGGGGCTTCTTGATCTTCCCAGAGAACAGGACCAGGGAGCAGCCCAGAATGAAGCCCACTAGTCCTAGTCCAAGATAGAGCCATGGTGAAGAAGAGCTCACTAGCCCGAGTCGACACGAGGCCGCGAGGAAGACTCCGAGTCCGGCAACAGTGTAGATATTGAGGAACCTCCCAATGAAGATCATGGTTGTACAAAAAAATTGTCCACCCTGCAATACATTGAGTTGAGTTAATTAACAACAAATATAATATAGACCTAACAAAAAAAACATAATGTATCAATCATCATATCATGATTACATAAAATATTACAATACCCTCATTATCTCTTACTTGATACGAATCTTGTTGGATGTTTCGACATAACATTAACATGTGTGAATAGATAATAAGAATATATATTTTAAAAGGCGAAGCTACAAGTATGGAGTGAAATTCAGACTCCAAGTACTGTATCAGCAGACAACGGGACTAAATTGTTTTGAGTTATTTGGTAATTACTAATAATGGTTGTTGTGGTATATTACAATACCCTCATTATCTCTTACTTGATACGAATCTTGTTGGATGTTTCGACATAACATTAACATGTGTGAATAGATAATAAGAATATATATTTTAAAAGGCGAAGCTACAAGTATGGAGTGAAATTCAGACTCCAAGTACTGTATCAACAGACAACGGGACTAAATTGTTTTGCAGTTATTTGGTAATTACTAATAATGGTTATTGAGGTACGAGAGAAAAATGAAAATACACGTAGAGTCTATGTAATTATACATGATCATGACTAGACCTAGACCGAAAGCTTCAGTCTCTCTAATCGTCGGTTGTTCCACTGAGACTAGACCTACATGTTCATGTATATCTATGTATGCATAAAATAAAGGTGAAACCAAACCAATGTAATGATAAATTGTATCTATGATTTTCCCCCAAAATAAAAATGGGACAGATTTTCCATTTTTCAAACATCAATTTGCATGTTGCATGCAATTTCTTGATTCAAATTATATGGGATTGCTCTGTTTTTATGCTTTGTATTTTCCAAATCATACAAGCCTTTCTTTAGATGATCTTCACCATGGCATGGCATTTGCTTTAAAAAATCACTGTCTACTTTTGTTTCCATAACAGTTTTTGATATGATCATCATGATCCACTTAGTCCTAATTAGTATACAGTATCAGAGTATAGTCCTTACCTATAAAGCTTAGAGAAGCAAAACAATTGGTACTGGTAGAGAAAATGGCCTTGTTGTTGGTCCTGTAACTTTGAAGTTTCTGTTCTTTTGTAAGCTAAATCTCCAAGTCCAACACGGGAGAGGCGCAGGGCTATCTCGAGTCTCCTAAATCGACCTAGCGCCTCGACCTCTACTCTAGAGTCAGGCTCTAGCTCTTTCTACTGCTTTATTCCAGACTTTATAATAGTTAGCATTCCATGTATGCTTGTGATTCTAGCTGCATACCAAAATATAAGAATTAAAATGAAGATCACATCATCACAGCAGCATTTTCCACACTACAAGTTCAATCGGTCTCCTCAGCTCAGCTAACAGTCAATTCTTTCGTTTGCACATTATATTATGCGAGCAGCAAAGTTAAAGACGTGGTATGTTTACTCGGCCGGGATAATCACAGACCAAGGATAAGGCCTTCCAATCCATCCATGTATATGATGCATGCAGCGCACACAATACAAGTCATGTCTCTGCGCTACCTTCCTCTCAGGGCTACGGCTAGACTAGGGACGGCGTCACAGAGCGACTCGGGTGTGCGCTCAAGCAATAATTATCGTTCTTTGTTTACTTACTTGAGATGTATGGAACGCCACTGCACTGTTGACAAGAATGGGTACAGAGTGCCAAACGTAAACGGCATGTTTCCTCAGGAATTCGGTCGGGACAAACATAAAGCAAAATATTTATTAACAAAAATTTAAATAACCTACACCCCGATATGTTTATGTTTCACCATAATCCCGGTATTAAAGCACATACAAGTGGTTTAATTTATTCACGAATCTATAATATTGGAGGGGTTCTAAGTAGACACTATTTTTGCTTCCGGATTTCAGGGAAATTATGCATCTAATAAACTTCCCTCTTTTAGAATATTTTCTAAAAGTTTATAAAATAATGAAGTCCTGAAAGATTTATGAAAAACTGTAAGTAAACTTCTTCAAATTGTCTTCCGGCAACTTCCCATGAAAACCAATCTCTTCATCTTTCCCTCTTCTATATTGCTTCACTAACTTAATTCAAACAAAGATCATTTTGTCATGCCCTTGTAATCTGGAACTTATGTTTATCTTTTAATAATATATCTTTAGGTCGGCCACTCATTATATAAGGGTCACTTCCTTTCTGGCTGCTGCCTGCATGCTGAGCAACTTTTATATTGTTGTACCAATGTGTAACCATGTGTTGTGTTCTATTCTTTTATGTAACCATGTATAGTTCTACGAATGTACATATGATATATTTTGTGTGTGTAATTGCTTTGGTGAAATAAAATTGAATTAAATTGAATTGAATTCCACCACCCCATCCCCCTCTTCTCTCTCTCTCTCTCTCTCTCTCTTTTTCTCTCTCTCTCTCTCTCTTGATCGCTCTATTCTCTCATATGTCTTACCCTCTTCCCCTCTCTCTTTCTCATCATGCAATTATCAGCTAGCAGCTAGGACATACAAAACACAAAAGTGCCCTTTCTTATCCCATTCTAACCCTTCATCAAAATACAAAAATAATGAAATAATCGACGGACATAAAATAGTTATTCTCGTTTTAAAATTAATTGTATCATATAAAAAATTTAATGGAAGAAGATAACGTCTGTTTGCAGCCAGAAGGGCTTAGCTCATACATTCCGTCGTTCTGAACCGATTATAATAGTGTACCAATATATACATATATATATATCTCTCTATATATATTTATTTAACCTATCTACAATTCAATATCAGCATTAGATTCATCATGTATACATGGACACAAAATTCAGTGGCAACAAACAAATAGATGGAAAGGGTGAATAGGGGAACTCTGGGAAGCTGGTGAACCAAAAACCTAATCTGAATAATTCATTGTTTTTTTTCTCGTAGCTTTCTTTGTTTCACCATAAAAAATTCTCGGCCGGTATGAGCCATGATCCCAAGGGACAAATAGCAATATCCACTTGACTTTAACCAATGAAAAAAGTGCAACAATAATACATAAATCTGATTTAAAAACGACTTCCCATACCTTGTGTTTATTTTCAGATGCAGAAGTGGCTACGATTATTTTATACAAAAGGGGTGGAGATGGAAGGGGGGGGGGGAATGGAAGGTGCAGGTAGATTACTTAGTCATGCCGCTGCAACACTTTATGTTGTCTATTTAAACATAAATGACAGCAGAAATTGTATTAATTGACAATGTATAAACTGGGTGATTTCATGCTTGATGTTCTATTATGGTTTTGCCGGAAATAAACACTATTACAGAACGTAGCAATGTAAGATGGTCTCAATGGATGCCTCCTCAACGTTTTACACCAAACACCAACACCGTGTTTGAAATCACCCAGTGTCTGATAAGTGTAACTGCTTCTCGACACCAGTTCTAAAACACTCTGGTAGAAAAAAAAACATCAAGTCTATGCCAAAGTATTGACAATATAAGTTTTCACTACTCTAAAAAGAGATCACACATTTGCTTTACCATACTGTAGAAAGAAATATTGTATGAAATCAAATATTATCATGATGATAATATTTTAGGATATGAATCTAATTAGAACATGATAGGGAAGAAACGGTCTAAGCAGGGCATTATATCAATGATTGTCTATTAGTTGGAATGGTTAGAAATTTGTCCCGATGTTTAAAACACAAAAATTAATTAACAATACATTTAAAAAAAAAAAAAATCACAATAAATTGCATTTTAAAATGCATACAAAGGCAAGTAGGAACATTCAATACCATGAGCTCTCATGACACTTGATTTGATCAAATCAGATTGAATCTGAGACAGCTAGACTTACAATTATCAACAGACATACAAAAATTTTTATTTCAGAATTGAAACTTTTAAGCAAGCATTGTGACTCGATCATGTAAAAAATATAATCAACTTCTTCACGTAGGAGCCGCAAACAGCCGTTACAAAATAGCATAATTATCATCGACTGCAAACTTAATTTATTTCAGAATTGAAACTTACAAGCAAGCATTGTGACTCGATCATGTTGAAAAATATAATCCAACTTCTTTTGGTAGGAGCCGCGAACAGCTGAAACAAAATAGCATATCATTGACTGCAAACTGTTTAGGGGAAGAAAACAAAAACATGGGGTGAAACATTTTCTAAGGACAAATTTGCAGGTTACTTGATACTTTGACACAAAAGCATTTTCAAAATGCACTCAGAACAAAAAAAAAACAAAACAAAAATGCTTAAGAGTCACATTGCCACAAACTTTCCAAAATAAATTTTCTTTTCCCAGCAGTTAAAGAAATATTTTTGCCCCATTAAAACCACATTCCATTCCTACAAAACAAAATGAAAGGATACAATAGAAAATCTTGACATGCAAGTACAAATTCAATAGAAAAAGATAATGGCATCATATAATGATAATAATAATAATAATTGACTCTTATAGCTGTTCAATTTATCTGATCAGCCTTAATTAAACAGATTTAATTAAAACAATTTGGCAGTGGTTAATCATAACTACAGGGTAGAAAGGTACTGTTGATCAAATTTGGAATTGAATAAATGACAAATAATTCATTGCTGAATAAATTTCTTTGATAACAAATTAATTTGTTTCTTGAGAAAGTGACATACTAAAGTTTACATCTAAAAGTATTCAACAAAGGCCCTAACTCAACCTGTCCACCTTTCATTCTTGAGTTACGGAACACACAAACAACATCAAATTTTTACAAGGAGTATGAATACTGCAGTATAGTAGCAACTTGGTATAGCATATCACTATATTAAAGCTGTACATTTGGTGCAAGCCGATACATGTCCAAATTCACATTACACCGATACAAAATAGTGCCTATCAAAAAATAATAAACACATTTACATAAATGCTCAGGAACAATGTACGGTCAGGCATAGACATCCTAACTAAACCTATACCCAGCCTAGAAGCATCATCTATAAATATAAATGCCCTCAATTGTAATTACGACTTTTCACCTCAGTTGAATGTATAGCTTCTTTTTGTTTATTCAATCATCTATTTAGTTATTTATTCATCTATCTATCTACCTGTCTATATATTCATGTATTTCTTCATTCATTTAATAATTTATTCATCTATCTATCTACCTGTCTATAAATTCATGTATTTATTCATTCATTTCTTCATCAATTCATCTATTCACCTATCCATCAACCATTTTTTTGTCAGTACTGATTTGAATGTATGAAGACTTCTTCACAGAAGTTGGCAGAGTCAATATCATTAAAAATGGCCGACTCCAAATCATCGGGTCAATGCGTCGGGTCGGGTGGTCACTTTACCCAAACTTCTGTGAAAACATGCCCCCTCCATTCATGAAATGTCAGGGATGTTTGAGAAATTAACCCCTCTCATCTACAAATGGTCTGGTTCTGAATTTACCTGACAGTTTGTGAAACCCTACGGCAAATCTACGAAGTTCGCTTTATCTTCAGTGTTCTTTTCTCAAACGGTCGTGTAACGCGACCACCCGACCAGACGCAATGACCTGATGATCGGAAGTAAGCCTTAAAAAAAGGGAAATCACAAGCTCCTTTGAGGATAAATTATGTAGTATGATTTTGTGTTCACTCGAAATCAAAGTCTCCATATGAAGTTTAATTCCAAAAGGAGCTACATGTAAATCCATTTTTGTAACTTCAGAGAAAAAAGAAATAGTTTACCAGATTTATGTACAGGCGTCTAAGAAGGTGCATTTTTTCATAATTGCTCTCAAAAATTTAGGTAAATAATTTTGTTGAAAGACGGGTACTTGAGTGAACAATGTTCTGATATCAATAACTCAATTTTCATAAAAAGTGGATTTAGCTCCTTTTGGAATTAAGCTCTTCATATATGGTTGATAATTCCTTCAGGTATACAGGATCACAAGAATACAATGCAAGTAGCAACACTAATAATGTACATGTATAAACTCATGTTTTGTGGCTGTGTATTTTCTTTGGCCATTCATCAATATAATGCCCTCATCCACGTCATTTTCACACACCCAATTTGATTAGTTTTAAATCAAATATATAAACAATGGCATATAACAAAACAAACAAACAAAGGTCTGTTAAGTATATGAATGCTACTCATGCCATTGTTGATTCCCTCATGCAACAACAATTCATGTATTTTCTTCAAATTATCAATTAACAACTTGTGTTGGAACTCAACAAAAGGCATCATCCATTGAGGCTACCATGTTTCATCCGAAAAAATTGCATCATATCCATCTTTGGGCATGGAAAAAGCTCATAGAAAGACAGAGTAATGCACACACTCAAAATATCATTTATCAGTTCATAAGTTCATATGCTACAAAAATAATCTCCCTGTGGCATACAATCTTTATCATCATAAGATAGATACATGTATATGAAAAAGTTTCCAGCATGAAATTGATAAATATATGTATATATCTGTGTTCAAAAGCTAATAAAGACCAGAAATGGCTATTGCTCCGGTCACAAAGGTCTTCCCGAATGCCCATGGTCTGAAAATCATTCGTACGGCGTTCGTAATGGCATTTGTGACCGATGATTTAGTTAGAAAAGTCATTGTGTTGCACAAAGCAATTCTTCATTCAACTGGTGCCCATTTTTGTGCAGAAAAGCATGCATGCATGGTAGTGGTTTACATATAATGGGCTATATAAAGAGTAACATGTATACAGGAGTTGATACAAATTTAAGTGAAAAGGGATACCAGACATGAGGGATGGGGCAAACACTTTGGATGGCGTTAAACATTGTAATACTGAGCATTTCTAATGAGATGAACTACAAATTGTACATGTTTTACAGTCATGTAAAGCCGGCCTGACAGTGAGCATGCAGTAAATAATTAAGTAATATTGACTGCTTTTAATATGGTAATACAATATATGACAAGTCGTATTGCCCTGAATTAGACATTAGACATCTGACACTACATCACTTGGGTGCAATTATATTGCAAATTTTTCTTGTGAAAACCCAAAACCCTTTCGCAAGTATGAAAAGTTTGCAAATTTGGCAGTACTGTGTTAATTTTTGCTAGCCGTAAATAGTACTTTTGGCAAAATAGTGTGTATATTTTTGATCATGTGACACACTGACAACCAATCAATGAACTAGAATATATGAATGATGTATAGAATTAGCTATACAAACGTCAAATGATCATACTAATCACATACCGGTACATTTACTTATTACAACTAATAGGCAGTATGCAGCAATATATTCCAACTGGTAATAAAATTCCCATATACTGATATATGTGTCTAATGCCTATGTAGAATACAACAGTTGGTCTCCTTTTTCCAAAGCAAACAGAATGTAGAAACGAATCTGCAAGAATTTTTTTCCTTACGAGTTATTGCCAATGCAAACGTTAAGCAGAGAAGCAAATTTTCATCAGAGCATTTCAGTGCTCTCTTTTGGCTTAAAATCAATATGCAAGTACAAATTATTTCTTACATAAAGTCCACCAAATCTGGACAATTAAGAACTTGGTGTGAAACCTTCACTTTTATTATCAAATTTATGTGAAATAATGGAAATCCGCACTGGTTTCTTATGTAAGCAATAGTTGTCAATTTAGAAAATATTGGGTTGCATTTTCCATCTTGTAAAGACACTGAAAGTTAAGGTATTTAGAAAAGAACACAGGACGTCTTATGCATACATGTGCATGACTGTAGATTGTGTTGCTCATGTACATATATACATATGCAGTCAGCATACTGTCGACTGACTGTCGACTGACGACTGTCTCTCTACACGCCGTCTCAATAGAAACACAGCATGCTTACATACATGACAGGTTCTAAGGTCAATACAATGAGCTTCCAAAAGCTGCTCAGCAAAGAACACACCAGCCTGCGTGTGAACCTTGTCATAGCAGATAAATCTTTTTAGCAAGTCAAAGATTCCTGTGTAATCTTGCATATCGTAATGTGTTATGAAGCCTTCTATAGCTTCCATTCCCCTCTGCTTTCCCTTTGCCACATATTTGACTTTGGGAATAATTTTCTTGTGAACTTTTAAGAACTCCCGAAGACAATCCAACACAGCCTCCAAAACACACTGCGGGGTATGATAGTACACCTGTTTGAATTTTTCACTATGACGCAGAGTGTGGATCGCTTCGAGCAGTCCGGTGCCACACTTTGTTGGCACATTTGTTCTTGATGGTTTCTTCCTTCGTGGGTGAGATGGACCAGGCTCTTCTTCAGGTTCTGAAATAGGACCATCTGTGGTTGCATATCCCCTGTAGTCTCCTCCACCATCCACGGACCCTGCAGATAATAAAGAGCTTGAATATCATTCATTGCTGATATCGCATTTGGTGTACATTATCTCTGTTTGTTTAAAGACGCAAGAGCGTGGGTTCTAATATGGGGAAATTGACACTGTTTGGGTGTTTAACCAATAACATGTATTGTCAATCACCCGAATTAGCTTTCAGTTTTATGACCATAGGCCTCATGTAATCCCTTGTATCCCCTATTATCTTGATTGTCCCTCACCATGCAGAAGACTTTCCAAGAGACTAGATATTTAGATATTTGGTTTTATTCAAGTACTGATTAAAAAGTCCGAAGACTAAACAAGTCAGTCAACAATATAAAATGCATAACAAAAAATATAACAAGGTAAAAAAACACATGGATGAATTAAATCATTAATAAGTTAAACAAAATATAATAAGTATATAAGTACATAATAATAAGTAAATAAATAAGTATATACAATTACCATAAATAATTATATATAATACGATCATTGCTACAGTGAAAGGACTTGGAATTCAAATTAGAAACAAATTAAAACAGCTTTGGGAGATCATACTATTACCATAAATAATTATATATAATACGATCATTGCTATAGTGAAAGGACTTGGAAAATTAAAAACAAATTAAAACAGCTTTGGGAGATCATACAATTACCATGAATAATTATATATAAGGGGATATTTCTTGATAGGCCTACAGGTTTACTGTGTTCAGACTTGTACAACAAAATAAATGGTAATTCCACCAAGTCTGGTATCAGCGACAAAATGACCCACTCCCTTTATGATATATTCCTATTTGTGCCACACACAATCTTAAGACAGTGCATTCAAGGAACAAATCCTACCATGGCAGGTATACACATTAAAAACCTGCTATAGAGTGTAACAAAATTAATGTAGATAAATGTCTTGCTAAAGGATGTTAGTACCGCAGCAGAGATTTGAAGCCTGTACTAGACCGAAACACCTCTACATCATAAACTTACGTACCTGATGTCTTGAAAGACTTTTCTTGAAGAAGTCTGTAAGCCGTGGTGCCTCCAACATTCTCCTTGACCTTGATCTGTAAAACCTGCTCCATTCCGGGGATTAGGGAAGGGATCAAAATCTCAGCACTCGTCATTGGCTTCAGTTTTGCCTGGTTGATCTCGTAATAGAGTTCTGGGATTGAATGCTCGTTCAAAGTAACTTTAGCCGATGTGTCGTTGGGTGTCACTGACTGCACCGTTATACCTAACAAAGAGAATTGTTATGTTGTAAGTTAAAATCAATGCCAGAACAAAATTCTGCAAGCTTTTAAACACATAAAAGAGTAAAATAGACAACAATTTCATGTACCGTAAATCTCTGTGTATGAGACTTTTTTGGCCACCGGTGAAAAATAGAAAGTCGGGGGTGCGTCTTATACACAGGTACAATTTTTGTTGTTGAAATAAATAAATAAATAATTTAAGTTTTGATTTACACTGTATGCCCCTCCACCTAGCACTATGCCTGGCAGTGTCTCCCAGCTCAGTAATCGGTGTGTTGACTCACCACTCAGAAACTAGAACAACACTCAAATTTGTCTGTCATCTTGGTTTGAAAGTAATCTTTCTAATAGATCTCAATATGTAGTTTATAATAATAATTCCTCCAATTTTTCTTCTATTACACACGGCGTACCACAGAATTCCATCCTAGGTCCTCTACTGTTTACATTAATAATCTTTACACATTCTTCTAAAAACAAAATTGCTATTATTATTTGTGATAAGTTCACAAGTACAAATCGGCGCCTTCAACTGCACCTCGCAGTTAAATGAAAGTTCTTCCCGCGTGGGTTTTTTAACATGGACCTGGCTTGCTGCCGACAGAGTCAGCAAAAAAAAAAGAGAGAAAAAAAAAGGAGAAAAATCTCACTTCTCGTGGTGAACTCCTCCTTCCAAACCCAGTTGTAACCTCCGGAATCCCCGGTTTGACCCTTGATACCAAGCTGCACGCTATAGGTCACGCTAGGTCGAAGGTCAGAGATCTCCCTGCTGCCGTCACACATGAGCTCCACTGCTCCAGCGCTTGAGCTGCCACCAGGAACATTCTTTTCTTCAAAATGCATGTAGAAAGTGTTCTCAATGGATGGGCAGGAGATATGAGCAGATGTCTCTGCAACGTTTCCTATCTTCAGACCTGTAGAGATCAATGAAAGGGTGAATTTTCGTTGTAATAGAGTTACAACGATAAGAAAATCACAATCTAATCCTCTTCACCTTTGGGATATCAGATAAATTAAGAATGCTGATTAATTCATCTTCACAACAAAAACATTTGACGGAAGATAGCAAAGGAGAAAGTAAGTTAATTTTGATCAAGTCCATACACAAAAAAAATAATGTCTTGCAATCATTTGTTGTTTACCCAATTGTAGGTAAAAACATACCAAAAAGAACCAAGTATTAAGCTTAGAATTGTATATCTTCCTCATTCTCAACTAGAACACACACAAACACACACACACAAACACACACACAAAGCGTCTGCTTCTCCAATATGCCTCCGCCTAAATTCAGTAAGGACAATGGCTTGAATTATCATAATGAGAACAGAAAGCCTATACTTACATATCAATTGTCTAGTATACAACCTTTGACCTTTGACCTGACAATCCAAAATTCTGATCACTTGTATCCCTACAGTGATGCATACTAGTTACAGAATGTTGCAGAATGCATACTACACTGTACTTCACAGCTAAACTAGCTTCACATGCAGTAGTTATTGATTTGGTCATTACAAGTTCAAATAAACACTTTAAATTTCATGTAATTTGACTTGCTGGCATTTGACCTACTTTTACCCCAAATCAATTCAATTTGACTATGGTGATGCATACTAATACCAAGTTTGAAATTCATGGATCAAATAGTTCTCGATACATTGAGTTAATGAGGCTAAAATCCCGCAAGTTTATGTCAATTTAGTGACACTGACCTACAACTCTTGACCGTTGACCTTCTACTATCCATCATGACCTATGACCGACTAACAACAAAATATAATCAGATCCTATGGTGGTACCGTACATAGTTCACTATCAAGAAGTTTGAACTTTATACCACACATGCTTCTTAATATATCATGATAATGAGAAAGCGGGGCAGACAGACAACCCCAAAACATCACGCCTCCGGCACCAAGTCTGGTGGGGGGAAACATAAAAACAAAGCAAACACAAAATTACGAATTTCTTGATTTTACACAATCTGCGATACATGTCGTAAGAACCGGCAACATTTGCATTGTCTGTTAAAAATTGGTAGGAAAAGAAAAAGAAAAAAATAGGCAAATATAAACAGGAAATTAACTTACACTTCATCTTCAATGTCTTTAACAGTTCATTGTCTCGTTGAAAACACTTCATCCAAGACAGAAGAAATATATTTTTGTGACGATATTCCATCCAAACTCCAATGCTGTCATTCCAAGCTAATGTTTCGATGAAGAATGCATCTTGATTACTACCGGTACGCACTGCATAATTAAACCAAATAAGGATAGAAATCAATTACAGTATTGAAACAGATGAACAAGGACATTAGAATACGAGTTGAATCTTTAGCGCCCTGTACTAAAATAAAATAAGGTATTTACACAACCTCTGTGTGAATTTCATCATTAACGACGAAGAAAATAAAACTTCATGAAATTTTCTGTACAGAGCAAATTGGTGAGGACCTCGCGAGATATGTAACTGAGTTTTCCAATTAGTGTTTGATTCAATGCAATTTAAACAATTCAAACTTCTTATTTTATATTGGCTTTTGCTAATACTTTCACTGATATGTTTCTCTCATTTGTCTACTTTTATTAAAACCAAATGAATATCAGGGTGGACTTCCCCTTTAAAGAATACATAATGCCAGATATGGGTGGAGACAAAAAATGACAATCAAAGTTGGGGAGTGTAGTTTCTCTCATTACGGACCCAAAATATTGAAATCTCTCCCTTTTTTTTCCAACACTTTCTCTTCTGTTAACTCTTCAAAGAAAAAAATCCTCCAAAATACCTTTTAAAAACCAAATATTTATCTGTTTCCTTTTCTTTGTCAATGTTTGTTTGTTGCGTCTCTTTATCATTAATTTCTTATAAATGTAAAGGGCACAATGCAAGCACTATTTTACACTTTTTTAAAGAAACAATTGTATCTATAAATACACATAGCATCACTCCAGGACTTGGGCAGTGATTGAGTTGAAGCACACAGATTTAAACAGGGCAGTACTGAATGTATTGTAGAGAATGTATCAGGCTCTCTTAGTCTCTTGCATAAAAAGCTGCATGTAAATGCAACGTCTTTGAGTTGGTCTAATGCTCGCCTCTCTCTGGTCTACCAATACAACAGCTCAGGGTATGATTACAGACACAGTCCCTAGACAAATATAATCAAATCTGATTCATAGGCCTAGTCTGTAAAAATCTAAAAAGACACTCCTACATAATAATTGAAAACAAATTAATCTATGTCCCAAATCTGCGATCCTGATTACTTGAAATCAAGGCCGGTTTAATTCTTTTAATACCCGTAGTTGCTTTAAATCTGAAGCCAATGCAAGAAACCCCAGTAATGGCACATCACACTGCGATGCTACATGTATTCAACCAAATCATTACCATTATTATTATTATAATCAATACCTATTCCAATTTTTTTCTTGTTTTTCTTGATGATGACAGCCTCACAATTAGATTGGTCTAGACAGGCCTGGATCCCCTTGACCGTAGCACTTTTGAAATCAGACGTCTCCAAGATGAGCCTATCCTCTAAATTTATACAGGGATAAAGACAAAAAATAAAAATTTAAGGAAGCGACAAATGTTAAAGATAAAGATGAGTTCTGGTCATGCGATTGCATTGTAAAAGAAAAGGTGTGAAATGGATCAGAAAAGATTGATCATCTAGCCATCGCAAGGTTCTGGAATCATCAAAATGATGATAAATTTGGTCAAGTCCTGGTAAAGTAACAAGCACTGTACACAGAAAGATGTATATGGGACTACACAAATGGTGTCGGGCTACTAACCTTGATTTCCTTATCTTTCTATGCTCATTACTCAGCCAGTACACATTTTCTACCAAATTGTTTGGCAAATAACATTTATTTGTACTCTTGAACATTCAGTGTAAGTTTCGTTTGATTCTGTGAGAATTCATTTTCTTTTTTTACCAGAACTCAAGTTTATCTTTAATGAATCACAGACCTCCCTCCTTGCATGTACATGTACCTGTTTATTCACCTTAGTTTATTATCACTTTTTAGTTTCACTATGTGCTACTAAAAGCAGCATTTGATAAAGGAAAAATAACAATACACTTGTCCGTGCATGGCGGTAATTGTGAGAACTTGAGAAAAAACACATCATGCATCAAGCAAAAAATTGTCTTCTATATTGTAGCGGTACATATTAAAGCAAAAACAAGTTAAACAAATTGAGAATGGTCATATTTTAGTTATTGTATCCGCAAACCTCAAAATAACATCTATCATGTGAAAAGTCCTGAACTGCCTTTAAAAATGTACGCGTGTGCAGACATGGGAACCTTTATTTTTATAATCATGTTAAAATAACATGGCTGGCTCTTGTTGGGAAAATGACAAGAATAATCTTGTAAACATATTTCCGGCACACCTACTCTTTTAATATTATACAGAAAATAATATCAGTATAAAAGCAATCAAGGAACATGAAGGAAAATCGTTGCCAATTTCATGTCAAAATGTTAGGTTCACATTCAAAGGGCTCCCCAGCATACATGTATAGTACTTACTGTTTATACTGTAACCAGTCAATAGATGTGCTTCAGTGTCCGCTCCAGTCACTGTGCTCCTACGTGTATGTCTTCGTTTCGAAATCAGGAATGCACAAAGCCCACATAGGACAACTCCAGCTAAAACTCCAACTGCAATACCTATAAATGATAGTGTAGAAAGTCCACCTGTTCAATATGGAATCAAAGAGTGTAAATTTTAGAACAAAGAAATGTTTGCATCATAGTTCTCAAACACCCACAATATAGATCTTTATTCACACATTTCAGAGCTTCATTTTTACATTTTTATGTCAACGGGAAAAAGAAAAGTGATTCTTATGCACAAATTTAGATTTGTCCTTCATGACAGCACACATAAATATAACTAGGGAAACGCTCGCGGCGGTCTCGCCTGCATTACGCAATTCGATATGATGAAAAATTGAGGTTTGGACATTATTTATAGGCAGGGTGGCCCATTAGCAGGCCCCCCCCCCCCCGCAAAAAAGTGAAATACTCTGAATATAATCAGCATTTTGAAGTGAGTATTGGCTAAGAATCATCCGAAGTACCAAGATTGATAACTTTAATGGAATATGAACAAATAATAAAAATTGATTATTAATTCTGATATTAAGTTGTGAAAACATAGTCCAAGTCTGACCTAAACTGACCTTTGACTTGCATTTTGTGACCTGGAATTTGCGTCATATGATTTGTGATACTTGATAACTCTTGTGTACAAATTTCATGGAATTTTAACAAACGCTTTTGAAATTATGCTAAAAATTCAAAATCTTGAGGTTGATACCACAACAAGGTCTAAGTTTGCAGACCTTAAATTACATTTGACCTTGACTTTGTTACCTAAAAGACTAATCAAATGATAGATGAAACTTGATAACCCCTATGTTCAAGTTTCATGGAATAGGAATGTATACTTTCAAAATTATGATAACAATTCAAAATTGTAACCTTTTGTTAAGTTTTGATGTTGATGCTACAACATAGTCCAAGTCTGTTGACCTGAAATGACCTTTGACCTTGACTTTGTGACCTGAAATATTGGGGATACTTGATAACCATTTGGTCCAAGTTTCATTGAATAAGAACTTATACTTTCAAAATTATATAATGTTCATATTATTGTGCTCTGTTTCTCGTATTATTGTAATGCTGGTGGAAAGCATATTTCCACATTCTGGACGAATAAATTCAAATCAATCAATCAATCAATACTAAAATTTCAAAAACTTAACCTTAGGTTAAGTTTTTAATGTTGATGCCGTCGCCGTCGTCGCCGTCACCGGAAAAGCAGGGCCTATGTCTCGCTTTTTGCTACGCAGGCGAGACAAAAATGAATCATGACAACTCGTTTTACATTCTTTTTTGAACTATGGTTTCTAGCTTTTTAAACTACACAAGACTCACCATGATAGCACTACAATGAATGAATTTTTTTACTGCAAGGCATTATTTCATGGTGCAAAGGTCACCCTATGCCAGAGGATAGATAAGAACAAGTTGCAGTATTTTGGACACATTTCTATGACAGAAGGTGACAACCTGGAGAAGATCATCACCCAAGGTAATGTTGAGGGTTAACGAAAACGTGGTAGCCCAAAAGTTTGATGGGCTGATGGAATAAAAGAGATTACTGGCATGAACATCTGCACAGCTAATCACTATGCCCAGGACGGAAGTGGATGGAACGTCATCATCAATAGGGACACAGAGGGTCAGTCATGACTCGTAGGACGACGACGACTAGCTATATAATTCTCTTTTAGGTGATAGGTACACTTCAATCCCTCCCCCTCCCCCTCTTTGTAAATAACATGTAACATTAATTACACCCCTCCCCAAAAAAAAAAATTAAAAAAATCAATCAATCAATCAATCAAAAATGATTTAAAAAAAAAATAATAATAACAAAATTAAAAAATTAAAAAAAATTACAAACACCACGTTCAAAGATATTGTATTTAAATGAAGTTGATAATTCAGGAATTTATTCTTTCTACATTCACACTGACCTTCTTTTGACGTGTTGGATTTACCAGCGGTTGGTTTGGGCTCGATTGACGGCTGACTTGGTTGAGTGGTTGGAGACGAGGTGCTTGTAATCAAAGGTGGCTCCACTGTACAAAGAAAAACGGTAAGACAGCATGCACATCTATTAGGGTGTCTATTAAAATGAATTGCCCTGTGCCCTGGTTGCCTCTGGCAACCAATAGACATTATCACACATTCTGATGAGCATAACATGAACTCATTACGATGCCCCTCACTCAAATATGAGCCGATTTTTTTTTTTTCTTCGGCCAAGTTTACATGTATTATAGATTGTTGACAGTCAGACAAGTATATATGTACAGTACTACAGTGAAGTGCAAACATTGAAACCTGTGACCCCCCCCCCCCTCCCCCTGCCTGCCTCTTCTCTCTCTCTCTGTCTCCCACACTTTTCTCACTCTTTGAGCTGTTCATTTTTGTGTCCTCTTACTCTGTATGTTGATGTAGATTATAAAGAATACTCTTTTAATGGAAAGCACATAGAAAATGAATTATTACTTATCATGCGCTAAATCAAAAGCTCTTATTATCATGATCATTATGTGCATACATGTAGATGTAGCTGAATTTAAAAGTAGTCTGAGGTTAGGAGTAAACTAAAAGTTTGACATGTACTTCTGATGTTACTGTTAACCTTTGACCTACATGTAAACTGAAATATATCCTATTCCATTGATCCCATCTGATTGACACTTTCACCTCCCGAAAAGACCATGCGAAGTTGACTGCTCCTTGAGTTACAATACTCATACTCTGACCCCGACTGAAATGAATACCGGGTATGTATAAATACTACCAGACCTGCCAAGTTTTTCAAACTGCAATGTGGGACAACTGTAATCAAGAGTCCATTAGAGTAGATCGAGCATATAAAGGCAGGGGGTCCAGGGGGTGGAACCCCCTGAAGCTCATGGGATTTGGCACCATGTTGTATCATACATTGTATCATACATTAGTAATAATAGACAAGTGTTGATCTCAGTAAATAGCGCTATCACAGTAAAAAAAAAAGAAAAAAGCAGGCAGTGACAGACAATTTTTTTTTCTTCTTTTAATTTAAAAAAATGTAATACTAAAAAAAAATTACGTATTTTTTTCTCTCCCCAGAATGCGGGATTGTCCAATAAAAAGCGAGACACTTGGCAGGTTTTTACTACACATAGCAGTTTAGAGTTTTCTTAAATTCCAAATAAATCGTCTTTTCTTTAATAGACCTCACACCAATTTCCTCTATTCAACCAGAGTTTGGACGAACGTCTAAACCCAACGTTGCATTTAATTAGAACACGAGCCTCTTACTCTAGGAGCCATGCCAGGGAAGAACATACCATATTTTAGGAGAATCGTCCGGTTGTCACTCCGCTCCCCTTGAGCTTCACACATGTAGTTCCCTGCATCCCCCTCCTGGAAGTCCTTCATAAGGAGAGTTCTTGACACGACCCCCTGGGTCACGACCCCTTGGGTCACGAGTTCCCCGGTCACCCCTCCCTCAGTCACCTCCCATTTGCCCGATGTATCGGTGGATGCAAGAAGTTGCCCTGATGGACCGTACCACTTCAGCGTAGGGATGTCCATGTCGCGGAAGGACGCGGAGCACGACACAGTGTAGGCGTTGGCAGTCAAATTGTACCATGGTTCCGTGATTGTAACGTTTACTTGGGGAACTGTGGAAGAACATTATTTTTAAAAAGGTAGTTTTAAAACCAATCCTGAAATGATAAACATTTAAAACATTTGATCATTGGTATTGAAAACTGACATGTTTTAAGATACACATGTACAAAGGTGTATTAGAAGTGTCTTAGTTGAGTGGTTTATTAAAGCACTTGACTTGAAATTAAAAGGTCGTGGTTCAATCCTCGACATGGCACTAACGTCCTTTGGCAAGGCATTGATTTACATTTGCCACTCAATACCAAAGGGAGAAATGGGGACCCGGTAGGATGGCGAAAGAATTTGTGTTGGTAATTGCCTATGCCCTCACAGTAACCATATGGTAGAAATACTCCCCAGGGAGTGGAGATGGTGCACATCGTGCGTGAATGAATCCAATGACCGGGGTAATAATATTTGTAAAGCGCTTAAAGACTACCGTATTAAGCGCTATATAAATCCAGATTATTATTATTATCATCATACACATTGCCAATTACAAGCAAAGTAAATGAATTGTCATGAATTCAAATTTTTGCAATTTGTGTGTCCATATCAAACTGTCCCTCAAATCATTTACCTTTTTTAACAGAAACAACAGGAGGGTCATGGAGATCAATTTCAAATATTATACCACTTGGAACTGAATGGAACTGAATGGAAAAGAACTGCTGCAATACATGTCATGTTGAATGAATATGAAGACTGGCAGTATATACATGTATATACATGTATATAATATATATTGGCAGTACGATAATTGTCCCCAAGTAAGGGAGAGAAGTGTTATTACCTTCCCTTCTGAACGTGCACCCAAAAAAAAGGTGGGGGGGAGGAAGGAAAGGCAATAGAAAGAATGTGAAAGAAAGAATAAATTGTATCTTGAAGCACAGTTTGGTTAAAATTCGGCCGAGAGAGCATATCTAGTAAAATCTATTTGGATACAGTGTTTTCTTTCAGAACCAAAACCACTATACAAAATGAATCATAAACATGAACTGTGGCTGGGGCATCTAAAGTGTAGAGAAGTAAGACAGGCCAACAGACCAAAAAAACAACCAAAATGCAACATGGAAAGCAACACACATGCATTGAACGAACAAAGGCTCCATCTATTCTGCAACATTTCATATTTTAGCAGTCATTATTGATTTCATTTAAACAGGCATTAATTTTGTAATCCAATATTTTTAATGGATAACGCACTCAATATATGTTATTTTTTAAACAAAATACATGATTTGGTTTAAAAAGTTCTTCTCTTTGATTAAAGATTGATGCTGATACAGAGGACGCATTTACAATATGAATATCATCAATCAAAGATAAGCAAAAAAATAACTGCTTTTGGGGGCTCTTAAAATTGATAAGACAACAACAAATATTGTATTTGTCATATACAAACAACACTTTGGACTTGCGGTATTTTTATGTCACATGCAGTACGTGTAGTTGATAAACCAAAATGTACAATCAGTGTTTTCCATCGGTCTAAACGTTTCCATCAAATTTTCATGATTTCTAAACCTCACTGTATTTTTTTCTATTGCAATACATGTTTCCTTTTTTTCATTATTGCTTTTTTATGATACCATGTTAAGAAAAAACAACTTCTAAACGGTTTCTCCCACAATGCTGGCCAAGACTCAACATTTTCCTTCATACAGTGTAGTAGCATCCTGTTTATAAGCCATGCGGCCACTGCACTGCCAGGGTAACAAACACATAAACTGTAACAGGAACTTTGAAAAAAATATTCATTTCCTTAAACTGGCAATGGCAAACTGAATCATTCAATAAAACCACACAATAGACTATCAAACGCTAGAAATTTCATGTTTTTGAACAACATCTTTTGAGTTTTTCAATGAGGAAACATCATTGCAGGCACAGTTGTGAAAATTATGTGACCCATCAATAATTCTTTGTTATTTTAAAAACCACAAACATGCATGCAAAATTGAGCATCGTCAGTGAGCATCTAACCATGTAAAATACCCATTTCACGCCACGAGGGCGAAATTCAACCATAAATTGGCAATAGTGCCCTAATAAGTGTGTACTTGTACAAATCTTATTCTTTCTAGCTATATATACATGCTATATATACATGCTATAAATACATGTATAATGTACAGTTAACATATAAATCATTCATACACTGACCATACTTTGGATTGTTTTTAAGTATGTTAAAAATTGGTTTGTCCTAATTTATGTTTCTTGAGAGTGTGACACATAAAGCTTACATCTAAAAGTATTCAACAAAATCCATAATTCAACCAGTTCAACTTTCGTTCTGGAGTAACAAAAAACACAAAAGACATTGAATTTACAAGGGGTATGAATAATTTAGTCGTTAACTGTATATCACTAGGAAGTTTACTAATTGCTATGGACATTAAAGCGCATTTTTACAACATAGCAAAATTATTTAAACCCAAATCTTACTCTTATAAGTTAATTTGTTAATATAATTGTTCTTAGAATTAATGGCCCAGCGGGAGTTATTAAGGTGAATTCTAATGAAGATTTCCTGTCTTAATTAGCTTTCATGGGTACTTGAAGAAATAAGCTTAGGCAAAATTATTACCGGTATTTAATTTTTTTTTTCAAATTATTTTAGCGTTCCCGCCCCTTCCTTTTTTTTTTGAGACTCCCTGCTTTTTTTTCTGAGAAAAAATATGTAAAACATACTGCTAAAATTATCTTTTTCAGAAAAAAGAAATAGAAATAACATAAAATCATTATTGTGGCCTTATCTCTTGTTGCATCTTTCCCATACAAACTCCATATTTCAAAGTGATGGCCATTTTGTAAGAGAGGGGGAAAAAAAAGTGCCTCCTCCTTCCTTTTTTTCGAAAAAGGCTAGACGCTACAAATTCTTTTCTTTTTTTTGGCCTTAATGATTCCATAGAATAACTCAACCATGCAATTAAACATGAATTCAATAAAAAAATATGTAGTTTATTTGCATGAGATTTGTTTTAAAGTTACATAATTCCCTGGAGTAATCAAATCAGGCAAATATTTGTGAATTTGATCAAAATATAAATTTTATTTGGTGGATTTTAATATTTCATGTGCACACCCAGTCCGACTCATTTTACTCCACCGGGAGTGTTGAGCCATATTATTTTCAGATTTAAATTCACCATTTTGTTATGAGATTCTGATACAATCCAATTTCCCCTTGGCTCCCAGAACTGAATATCACCTTTAACAAGGATATGAAATAATAAGGTGCCAACGAACTTATGCCAATATTGCTTATCATTGCCTTTCATGAGGTCTATCACTATGTATGAAGTTACTTGGAACTGAAAAGTGGGGGATTCCCCTTGGAAGGCCATAACATAACCAACCCTTCCAAGCAAATACTTCATCGCATTAGCATGTTGCTTTGTGCGCACATTGTACTTGAGATCACATAGATTCACTTTCAGACAACATTCTTGCTCACCCTTGAGGAACATTAAAACGATTTGGAAATAATGTTCATATTATATTTATTCTTGGGAACCAAGAAAAAAAAAGCTATGCTTTCCAGTAGGTTCCTGTTTAATTTCATAATTTTGAACTTAACTTTGTCAACTATGTTCTGCATTGTGCAATTTGTTATCAGATCAGTTCTGTTCACTAATTTCTTTTAAAAACAGGTACAGGCACTGAACATGTACATGTCATTAAAGATGCAATGGTCGACGCAAATGTCCATATACATGTACATGTACAATGTAAATGTATTTTCATAATGTAAACCATTTTCAAACACCCCCCCCCCCCCCAACATCCTAGACAACATGAAATGGTCTACACGCAGAACACTTTAAATACAGTACAGGAGGAATAACAAATATGATATACATACATGTACATGTATATGAAATGTATGAAAATGTGTGTTATGTAAACGATTGAAACTATATGTAAATTACACAGAACAGTAAAGTAAACAAAAAAGGAATATCTTTCCCCATATTCCATATTTAAATATTCTATAGAAAGGTAGAAAGAAAATGAAAGTGATAGATCTACATTAGTTCAAAGCATTGTAAGGATAATATTTTTGCAAATTAGCAGACTTTGTTAAATCATATATAATGCAGTCATGACTCAAACATAACAGGATGAGGTCAACAACAAAATATATTCAATTTCTTACAGTATTCTTAAACAGGAAGTAAATGCACAGTACAATGCACTGGCAAATTTGCAACAAAATTTGCAACAATTAAAGGGACTTTGTAACATAGTTTAGATGAGAGAAAATGGTGCTAAGGTAGTGAATTCAATGCTAGATGTACAATTAAAGATATTAAATCTGAAAGTTTGAGTGAAAACAGACCATTATTATGATAACAATTCAGAAAAACTGATATGATCGATTCCTTAATTCTTCCAACTATATCATTACAATTTAATTACATTTTAGGTGAATGTAAATCGTCACAGAGCAATGAATTGGCTCTATATATATATATATATATTATTACAGACATTTAAGTGTTGAAAGACTTTTAAAAGCCTGTCTTATGTCTTTTTTTCATGGAAAAACTGTCGGGAAAATTCAAAAATGGTTGGGAGAATCTACTGTTAGAGGGTGTCGCACAGTGACGCCTTCGAAAAAAAAAATATATATATCTTTGTGGTTTGAGAATTTTTTGCATGTTTGAGGGTTAGTACAGTAGTAGGAATATAATAAGTAACATTTCATCAAAAAATTACGCAGGTTTTTCATCAACCTTCAACAATGTTACCGAGTCACTTTAAGAGGGGAAAAATAAAATGTAGGGGATTAAACTCATTTCAAAGAGAATGTTGAGATCTGGTAAACATAAAAATCACTTGTGAGTTTTTGTCATCCATTTTATTCCCACGTGACAGAATAACAGAGCAGCAACGTGGCATGAATGCATTCCTTGAAATGCTAGGGCCCTGTTATAGCAGCTAGGCTAAAGCCGGGGTAATAATTAGTGCGCCTCATAATAGATTTTCTAGATAGAACTGTGCAACAGAAATGCCTAATTATCATTATTTTTTTATTATTAACGTCCTCTGAATGTTTATTCAAATATGAAAAGAAAAAGTTAATAGCTCTGGAGTCGAGTCAGGACCAAATCTGATACAAATGTGTGCATGTGTGTGTGTGTGTGTGTCGAGGGGGGTGGGGTCCTTTGAAAATTCTAATTTTTCATTTCTCTCCAGCTTGATATTATGACCAGTCATCTTCTTCTTTTTTTCCATCTCTTTTTCCCCTTCTCCCGATCTCTTTCTCTCTTTCCATTCTTTAAACAATTTTTTTTGTTACCACCACTTGCTTGGGGGTGTGTGCCCCTATGCCCTCATGTAGCTACGCCACTGACTGAGAGAATTCATGAACCGGCAAAGCCATTTAATACTTTCATGTGCTTGATGTTCTGTACGTGGTTACAAAGCAAGGATGTGAGTTTGCAGCAGTCTGTATAATTGGAAAAGCTCTAGACAAGCAAATACAAATTACGAGTTAGGGTTATGACATGTTCATGAATAGAGTTTTGTAATGTTTAGCATTCCAGAAGCCCCAATGGATGGCAGACGAAGGGGAGTTAAAAGCCGCCAAACATCTGGGTGACTATCTCTGCCTGTTTACCTGCAGGGGACTGGGTGGTTGGAGGATACTTATTCGTGTAACATGCACTGGATGCAGCAGGGGTTTCACCCCGAGGGTCAGCTTGACGGGGGGAGCACCAATAGGGACATATTCCACCCAGGCGATAGCACGGTAATTCCTGATAGATATCACTTGAGATTAGTCTGGCGGGGCAGGGGGAACATTCAGTACATGCACTGCCATCCCAGAACTTTCTGTAAAAGGTGGACGGAAGCATAAAAGGAAATAAAGAAATAAAGAAAGAAAAAGCCATGCAGGTTAAAATTTGGGGTGCACGTGCAATTCTACCTGGAGGAGAGGGGGTGGTCGGCGGGCACGCGTCGCTTCCTTCGTTAGATCTTGACGCCGACTGCACTGAGCACCAGTTAGGGCAAAGGGATTTGTGCTTCTTGCAATCATACATGGGGGAATAGTCCTGGCTTGTGCCCAGAATGACATCTTTATCGCAGGGAGAACAATTCTGACACGCTTCGTAAGAGGTGTCCCAGTACTGCCTACAAGACGAATTAACAGTAAAAATTGAAAGAGACGTATCACAGAAATTAATGTACAGATACATGTATATACCTAATAAAATATATAAGATAATTCACGGTGACGTTTTGTGAATTATCCCTATCATTCGTTCAGTAATATCATATTTGCCAGAGAAAATATGGTGTACATGCTCAGTTTATCAGCGGAAACCACTACACAAGTATAGATAAGGCAACCACTGGACAGAACACACAAGGGCAGAAAATTTTAACTGAATTGACTGTGTCATATAGCTTAATATCCCACATTTATTATTAAATTCAATATTCTACATGTGTTTCAAACTCTTCTGCCCTCATTCAAAATAAGTGATATTGAGAAAAGAACGCCTTACTGAGATGCTGTGACTTTTTAAAAGCCAAATAAGTTCTGTTCTAGGCGTATTGCTGTAGCATGGTATGCTGTATCATTTATAACTATGAAATGAGAAAATATGTAGTCTATGGACATTTTCCAAACGATGTCAAATGAATGACCCCCCCCCCCCCCCCCAAAAAAAAAAGAAGAATTATTAGGCATCTCAATTTAAAACTATATCTTTCCATCTCGCTTAACAAATTCCACACTTGAAATGGGCCTTGCTTGCATAAAGTTTAAGAATGATTGAAGTAAATACAGATGTGCATTGTAATGCCTGATTTGACAAGTACTGGAATAATACATACATGTACAAATACAATCATACAGCAAAATAGAATATTGACTATAAATACGATAACATAATAAAATACAATATAATCTCTAATATTAATAAAATAGAATAATATGGCAAATGGCAAAACCATGACTTACCCATATTTGCAGTCTGTTACTGCTAGACTCGGCACAATAAAAACAATCTGATTTGAGAGAAAAGGAGAAACATCAAGTAAAATTCTGATCCTTCATGTTATAAAAAGAAAGGTATTGTTGAGATACATGTATGAGATGGTAAATTGCGTCAGGTTTTTTAAAAATCACCTACATGATGTATTAAGCTTTATTTCTGCATCTTATAATACAGAGCTCAGTGAAAACTCAGTACATGTACATGTCTAGATGACATTACCGGTAGTTTCCTATACATACATCATTTACGCATAAAATAAAAGGTGTTTTTTTTTTTTTTCCTGGCAGTTTAATCATCATGGCATACATGTATGTGAACAAGCCATATGGGCTTGTTCAGATGGGGGATTCCCCCCACAAAAAACCCTTCCAAGCAAGTACATGTACATGGATGAATGTTTAGGACCTACACTACATGTACATGTGCATTTCTTGTCCCACTTGTAGGTTTAAAAAAACACATTCCTGTTTCATGTGACATCCCAATTGAATTGAATTGAATTACAAGTGCAACTTTTTTTTCCACTTGCCATTCCTCAGCCCAGCATGACTGAAGGCCATAATATTACGAATTTGTTATTTTTTCAATTGAATGAAACATGTTTAGTTGTCAATTTGGGCACATCACACGGAGACAAGTAGGCCTAACCTGATGTTTCACTGATGACAACTTAAAAAATTCAAAACTTTCCTAATTTTTTTCATTGGATATTGCTGAAACTTTCACTGATTTGTTTCTCTCATTTTCTGCTTTTATTAAAACTACAGTACCGGTAAGTTATATCAGGGTAAACTTCCCCTTGAAGCGAATAGGAAAAGCCACTTGGCCTAATGTCTGTACAATATACAATACACTAGGTCCGTCTCCATCAGACAGGAGTTGCAAAATAACCCGCTATTTTAACTATCCCGATCTCAAATTAGCCAGCTAATTTGCGTCCTCATCAGCCCGCAGTTGCAGTTTGCAGGCTATTTGGTCCAGAAAATATCCAGAGAAATCTTGGTCTTGTTTCCAAGATAACCCCCTATTTGAAAAATAGCCGGCTAATTTGCACCTGTCTTCATCTAACGCAATTTCGAGCTTCGGGAAAATAACCCAAGCCTGAAAAAAGCGGGTTATTTTGCAACTTTGGTCTGATGAAAACAGGCCTACTGTGATATTTTTACAATATAGGGGATATATCCTTAACCCTTTTGGGACAGTCATTCCGCCTTTTGTGGTTTGGCCCAGTAACTTTTGGTTTCGGAGCCCTACAAATGATAACAGATGCATGAAAAGAAAGGGCAGACATTCCTGCACATGCTGTGTCAATTTTGGCTGCATGACCACATTGCGTTGAATGCATTCAATGCTTAGAACTATAAAAACAAAAATATGCTTTGAAATCCTTAGTTAGCAGCACATTGTACTGAATTAAAGAATAAAAAGTATCGTTTTTCAATCAAAATTGGCTGATATTTTAAAACTTTTTGGGCAAAATGTGTACCCATGTGTATTGTTTTCAGAGACATTGCATATTTATTTGCATTATATAAGAACAATGTAGCGTTAAAAGAAAAATAGTATCGTTGCCAATTTGATATACAAAATGTGATGGACTAGCAATGTAACAAAAAACCTAGTCCTGAAAGGGAGGTAACCAGCTTGAAACTGAAAGAGAACAATTTACTTACCAAGAGTACTAGTACCGGTAGGTTAAAAGGTTTCCAGAGTAAACATATCGCCATTGTCTTGGAAGTGTGATCTCTCAGATTCTGATTAAACTGCTTACCGGTATGTGTATACTGGAGTTCCTTAAATGATAAAAAATAAAGTGATAGATTAAAACATTAATAATGAAATGAAATTTGACCTCAACAGTGCCGGTAATCTTGGCAATGACTCAATGTGTTGACGGCCCTAAAAACGAACACAGAGTTCATCTCTCCCTCCCTCCTTTTTTCTTATTGATTCAAAATGTAAACTGGCAACAACAACAAAAATTTACGATATGCTGCTCAAGGGAGATCAAATACTAACACACAACCTCCCCTCCCCTCCCCCCTCCCCCCCCCTCCCCCCCCCCCCCATTCAAAAGCAATCACGTCACACAAAACAGACATGCCTCAATGGCCCAATTTATGGTGTATAAACAAAGTAAATAAAAATTGGATCATGCGCATGAAAAACTTTGTGATACACTCAATTGCCTTCAACCACCAAAAATCTTACAGGACGTAAAAACTTATTTGTGTAGAAAAAAATGGTTTATAATAGTGAATACCAAAGCTCGTCATAAAGCCATACCATGCACAGACTTGAATCTGGCCCAAAGTATGGCGCAATTGGAATACACAGAGTAAAAACAGGAACAGAAAGATCTATTTAGACAAGAAAGATTTAATTAATATTTCTATTTATCGAAAAAAGTAGGCTGCTAATGTGCTAGGCTAATTAAATGGCGCCAAGTGCCAACTGAAAATTCTCATTGACTCTGAGACATGTACATGTAGTATGTTCTGTAGAAGAAAAGAAATTAATGAAATGAATTCCTGATGTGAACTAATCAAACTGAATATTACAGCAGTTCATACATGTACATGAATGGACAAAAAGTGTATCAAAGCATGGACCTACTACGAAGTAGGACCATGATATCAAAGTGATACCAGTATGCGTATTGCCTGACTAAATCAACATTCAGACATGAACGTGTCAAACTAGTCCAAAGTCCGTTGGAAAAATTGTTCTTCATTCAGTGCAGTATGGAATTGTACCACACCCTTTAATACACTGGTAATGGAACAATGGTATGGTGCATAGCACATTCAATTATACATGTACAAACAGCAGTGTTTTTCCGCCCTTTTTCAATACCAAGTTTCACTTCATCCTGATCTGAAATACATCACAAAATAATTGTTCATACACACTCTGAAACTTGTCTAGTACTACATGTACATGTATACACACACCTACATGTATGTCCTACGGGCATGTGTGTTTCTAACTATTAAAAAAATGCCACCTTAAATATGTTAGAAATGTTTTAATCAACACACTTCAAAACTATGTTTGTTTTTAAATGGAAAAGTACTTGGGCAAGTACGAAAATCATTGAAGTAAGTATCGCATATAACTGGTAAACTATGACATACTGATCTCTGGAAAAAGGTAAATTTGACTTTTCATAAATGAAACAAATTACTTTTACGAGTATAAATGAAAAACAAATTACTTTTACTATTCACATGAACGTGGGCATCCCGCCGCCAAATGTACTTGAATATTAGGATATTCACTATACAGGCATCTCTTTGCTAGGAACTATCCTGCATTCCTGCTGCTTAATGTTGCGAGAGTGTGAAGCAAACAAGCGGTAAAAGTGGAAAATTTATATCAAAGATTTTTTAAATATATATCTTGGCAGCTCGTTGTCAGATAGAATGATCTTTGGGCACCTTGTTGCCAAAATATGGAGGTATTCAGGCACATGTAGCTACCTGAAATCATCCTGTTTCTAAATAATTCGAGCAAAGCAAGTGTGAAAGAAATACACTTTTAATCTTTGAAATGCTATTTCCTCATGAAATTACATACATGTACTCCAGCAGTTTCTAATATTTGGTGTTTCACAAAATCAATGTTTCCCTTTTGACATTTTATGATGCTTTCAAAGACTGGAAACTGATGTAATAATTTAAATGTATTTATTTGCAAACTTATTGTGCATTCAACAAAAGTTGCACTTTTGAGTTTGAGCCTTTTACTCAGGGTTAAAACGTATGAGAATGCATAAATCATTTTAATGCCACTGATTTTACTGTTATATTTTCACTGAAATCTGTTTCTGCATGTACATGTACATGTACATGTAAAGAGCATACATAATTGTGTTTTTGTAAAACAAACGGTTCATAAATACAGTGTGTATGAGTACAGTGAAACCAAAACAGAAAATCAAAAACAATTTAAGAAAATGCAAACACCGGCCTTTACAGGCAGTTGGTCTTTAAACATGATTTTAAATGGTCTTTGACAAGTGTGTTTTCATTCAATACCTCCTGCATTTGCTACTCTCCACCCAGGTGTTAAATGGGTACCCGGTAGGATGCGAACGTTCATGTGGTTGGACGAGCAAGTGTGCGCTTGTAAAATGGCGACTGGCTGGAATGCTCCCCAGGGAGTGGAAAGTGTGCACACATTGTGTGCGGGTAAGCCTGAATCCGATGACCGGGGTAATAATATATCTGTAAAGCGCTTAGGCACATCGTTGGATCGGTGTATTGAGCGCTATATAAAAAAACGGATTATTAGGTGGTCTGTTATCAACAGACCACCTATTGATTTCGTCAGAATTTTCTTTATTAGGTGGTCTGTCTTCGACAGACCACCTATTGTTTTCGTCAGAATTTTCTTTCTTCTTTATTTATTTATTTATTTATTCTTTATTTTTATTTATTGTTCCCACTTTTTTGTTCCGACGATAACTCACGATCAGTTTGGTCAATTTCGTTCAATTTTGGCACAGTCATAGGTCATTGTCATAAGACATGACAGGAACATTTTCAAGGTCATCAAGTCTTCATGACGTCATCCAGGCGCCATTTTGTGTTTTTTTTGGTACTTTTTACTCATGATCATATCTTCATAACGGAAAGGCATTTCTCATTTATATTTATCATGATTAGGGTCAATATCCGTCCGGTCAGTTTCAGGTCAATAAACGCGCGCGCATGCGTACGTCCGCGCGTAAGCGCGCGCGCAAAAAATTAAAATGCTTCAAATCGTCTCAAATTCATTTTGCATACGTTTCAGGCCATTTTAAGCATTTTGCAAAAAAACGTGCACACGCGCATGGGCACGCGTTTTCGCGTGTCCTGGCATTTGGCAACATGAAATCGCCAATTTTTTTCCGTCATCATATCTGACACGTTCTTTCAAGCATTTTGATACATTGTTCACCTTTTTCTGCCCATTAATAACGGAATGAGCGTCCGTTTAAGATAATGTCCGTGCGTGCGAGCTCTTGTAATACATAGCATATATGGGCAAAAACATCCCATTTTAAAAATCGAAATAGCTCTTCAGATAGTCCATTGACCCCCATTTTTTATATCATGGTTGGAAAAAGCATGAGTTGGAGATATGATTTCATACAACCCTGACTCGTACAAAGTGAAACAAAGTCTTAATATTGGCATCTAAACTCCAAAAAATGTATTTTGTTGATGACGTCATTTTTGTCTTTGTTTAATTGAGATTATCTCACGTATCGGTGATCGATTTTCACCCAGATTTTAATATGTTGTAGCTGAGATAATTTTCTATCAGAAATTTGTCATATATTATCATTTAGATGACGTCATCATAGTAAAATATTCGATTAAAGGCGGCAATACATAATTTGTCATATTTGCGTGTTATGTTTATGGGAGGTCACTTTTTTTAAAACATGAATCTGCATGACAATGTGTTTTGACCAGTATATCGGTTGTTATTCAACATTTTTCTCCCAAATTTCAGTAGGTTGTAACTGAGACTATATTTTATCTAAATCACTCCTCATTTTTCCGATAAGATGTCAGAATCACGCTCATGATCATGATCATGATCATTATCATAATGATCATAATCATCCTCATCAACATCATCATGATCATCATCATAATCATTATTGTTTACATGTCTATATAACTTCTCCCTTTTTCAATATAGTAAATATTATAATACAATTGTGCCCTTTATTTTTCGATCAGATGCCGGGATCATGCTTATATTTCACTTACAAAGTGGGCTTTGATAATTCCATTTTCCGTTTACGTGTAATCTCTAAGGGAAATGTTTTGGTATATCTGTAACGCACTTGACTTCCGACCTCGAGGTCCCTGGTTCGAGTCCGGGCGTCTCCAACAATTTTTTTTTCTTCACTTTTTTTCTTTTTGACCTTTCACTCTACCATCTCCTTTGAATATTAAAACACGTACAGTCGCAAATAATGTAATAAACAACCATATTTACTTTATTATTACCCTATTATCACTACATCCATTACTTTTTGCGTGTAATCCTTATGGAAGATGACTTTTTCTCAAATCTGGGTTCTACATTCTTGTCTTTTGCGAGCAATATCGCCGTTATTTCGGCTTGATTTTTGTTGATTTTTGAGTATGTTGTAGCTGAGACTATATACTATCTAAATGTTCTCTCATTTTTTTCAGTCTGTCATCGTAGTCTGTTGATGATAATCATCAAAGTCATCATGATCATCATGATCATCGTCATCGTCATCACCATTACTACCAAGATCATCATCATCATGATCATCATGATGATCATCATTGTTTACATGTCTATATAACTTTTCCCTTTCTCATTATAGTAAATATTATAATCTATCATAAGACTTGAAGACAGACCACCTAATTCGTCCCCATGACGAATTAAATTTCTAGTTATTATTATTATTCTTTATTTTTATTTCTTCCCGTTTTTTGTGCCCCGGATAACTAAAGTTTGGTTTAGTTAATTTCATTACAATTCGGCACAATTATAGGTCATTGTAATGAGACGTGACATGAACATTTTCAAGGTCATTAGAATATCGTGACGTCATCCAGGCGCCATTTTGTGAAATCACGTTATCCATCATATCTTCATGATGCATAAGCAAAGGTCATTCATATTCATATCACATATACTTTAGGGCAAGGGTCAACAGGTCATGTCATCAAAGGTCACATAAAGGTCATGACGCGCGCGTACGTGTGCGTCAAAATTTTAAAAAGCTCAAAATCACTTAACTACTAAACGA